GTGGTCCCCAAAATTGGAGGAGGGGTCCCCAAAATTGGGGGAGGGGTCCCAAAATTGGGGGAGGGGTCCCGGAATTGGGGGAGGGGTCCCAAAATTGGGGGAGGGGTCCCGGAATTGGGCAAAAGCCGAAAAAATCCGGGAAAAACAAAAAAAAAACCACGTGGGAATTTGGGGTATTTTGGGGAATTTTGTGGAATTTTGGGTATTTTGGGGTATTTTGGGGCGCTCGGGACGGATTTTGAGGCGGTTTTGAGGAGTTTTTGGATATTTTGGGGCGCTCGGGACGGGTTTAGAGGAGTTTTTGGATATTTTGGGGCGCTCGGGACGGATTTTGAGGAGTTTTTGGGAATTTTGGATATTTTGGGTTGCCCGGGACGGATTTTAAGGTTTTTTTGGGAGTTTTTGGGACTTGTGCCCAAAATGGGGCGGGGGGGCGGGGCCATCCCGAATTCCCGGGAATTTCGCCAATTTTCCAGGCGGGGCCGAACCCCCCCGGGACCCCCCGGCCCCTCCCCCGCTTCCTCCCCCACCCCAAAATCCGCGGCCGCTGCCAAGGGAGGGGGAGGGGCAAAGGGGGGTGGGGAAAATGGGAAAAAAGGGGAAAAAGGGGAAAAAGGGGGATTTGGGAATGGGGGAAATGGGGAAAAAAGGGGAAAAAGGGGAAAAAAGGGGATTTGAGAATGGGGAAATGGGAAAAAAAGGGGAAAAAAGGGGGAAAGTGGGATTTGGGAATGGGGGAAATGGGGAAATAGGGAAAAAAGGGGATTTGGGAATGGGGAAATGGGAAAAAAAGGGGAAAAAAGGGGATTTGGGAATGGGGGAAATGGGGAAATAGGGAAAAAAGGGGGAAAATGGGATTTGGGAATGGGGAAATGGAAAAATAGGGAAAAAAGGGGATTTGGGAATGGGGAAATGGGAAAATAGGGAAAAAAGGGGATTTGGGAATGGGGAAATGGAAAAATAGGGGGAAAAGGGGGATTTGGGAATGGGGAAAATAGGGAAAAAAAGGGGGAAAAAAGGGGGGAAAAGGGATTTGGGAATGGGGAAATGGGAAAATGGGGAAAAAAGGGGATTTGGGAATGGGGGAAATGGGAAAAAAGGGGAAAAAGGGGAAAACTCCCCATTTTTCTCCAGGCTACGACTTCCCGGGGGTGCTGCACTGGTTCCTCCAATGAATTATTTTGGGATTAGGACTGAATTTAGGATTTCCATCAGAATTTAGGATTTCCAATCAGAATTTAGGATTTCCATCGGGATTTTGGGATCCAACCCCATCTCTTTTTCCAGGCTACGACTTCCCGGGGGTGCTGCGCTGGTTCTTGGGTTGGATTATTTTGGTTTTATGACGGAATTTGGGATTTCCATCGGGATTTTGGGATCCAACCCCACATTCTCCTCCAGGCTATGACTTCCCGGGCGTGCTGCGCTGGTTCCTCCAATGAATTATTTTGGTTTTATGACAGAATTTGGGATTTCCATCGGGATTTTGGGATCAAACTCCATATTCTCCTCCAGGCTATGACTTCCCGGGCGTGCTGCGCTGGTTCCTCCAATGAATTATTTTGGTTTTATGATGGAATTTGGGATTTCCATCGGGATTTTGGGATCTGACCCCATCTCTTTTTCCAGGCTATGACTTCCCGGGCGTGCTGCGCTGGTTCGCGGAGCGCATGGATTTGGGATTAGGGCAGAATTTGGGATTTCCATCGTGATTTTGGGATCCGACCCCATCTCTTTTTCCAGGCTATGACTTCCCGGGCGTGCTGCGCTGGTTCCTCCAATGAATTATTTTGGTTTCATGACAGAATTTCGGATTTCCATCGGGATTTTGGGATCCGACCCCATCTCTTTTTCCAGGCTATGACTTCCCGGGCGTGCTGCGCTGGTTCGCGGAGCGCGCGGCGCTGGTGCTGCTGCTGTTCGACGCGCACCGCCTGGACGTGTCGGAGGAGCTGGCGGCGGCGCTGGCGGCGCTGCGGGGCCACGAGGAGAAGCTGCGCGTGGTGCTCAACAAGGCCGACGCCGTGGGGCCGCAGCAGCTGCTGCGCGTCTACGGGGCGCTGCTCTGGAGCCTGGGCCGCGCCCTGGGCGCCNGGAATGGGGAAATGGGAAAAAAAGGGGAAAAAAGGGGATTTGGGAATGGGGGAAATGGGGAAATAGGGAAAAAAGGGGGAAAAAAGGGGATTTGGGAATGGGGAAATGGGAAAAAAAGGGGAAAAAAGGGGATTTGGGAATGGGGGAAATGGGGAAATAGGGAAAAAAGGGGATTTGGGAATGGGGAAATGGGGAAATAGGGAAAAAAGGGGATTTGGGAATGGGGGAAATGGGGAAATAGGGAAAAAAGGGGATTTGGGAATGGGGGAAATGGGGAAAAAAGGGGAAAAAAGGGGAAAAAGGGGATTTGGGAATGGGGAAATGGAAAAATATGGAAAAAAGGGGGAAAAAAGGGGGGGAAAGGGATTTGGGAATGGGGAAATGGGAAAATAGGGAAAAAAGGGGATTTGGGAATGGGGGAAATGGAAAAATATGGAAAAAAGGGGGAAAAAAGGGGATTTGGGAATGGGGAAATGGAAAAATATGGAAAAAAGGGGGAAAAAAGGGGATTTGGGAATGGGGAAATGGGAAAAAAGGGGAAAAAGGGGATTTGGGAATGGGGGAAATGGGAAAAAAGGGGAAAAAAGGGGAAAAAGGGGAAAACTCCCCATTTTTCTCCAGGCTACGACTTCCCGGGGGTGCTGCACTGGTTCCTCCAATGAATTATTTTGGGATTAGGACTGAATTTAGGATTTCCATCAGAATTTAGGATTTCCAATCAGAATTTAGGATTTCCATCGGGATTTTGGGATCCGACCCCATCTCTTTTTCCAGGCTACGACTTCCCGGGCGTGCTGCGCTGGTTCTTGGGTTGGATTATTTTGGTTTTATGACAGAATTTGGGATTTCCATCGGGATTTTGGGATCCGACCCCATCTCTTTTTCCAGGCTATGACTTCCCGGGCGTGCTGCGCTGGTTCCTCCAATGAATTATTTTGGTTTCATGACGGAATTTGGGATTTCCATCGGGATTTTGGGATCCGACCCCATCTCTTTTTCCAGGCTATGACTTCCCGGGCGTGCTGCGCTGGTTCTTGGGTTGGATTATTTTGGTTTTATGACAGAATTTGGGATTTCCATCGGGATTTTGGGATCCAACCCCACATTCTCCTCCAGGCTATGACTTCCCGGGCGTGCTGCGCTGGTTCTTGGGTTGGATTATTTTGGTTTTATGACAAAATTTGGGATTTCCATCGGGATTTTGGGATCAAACTCCATATTCTCTTCCAGGCTACGACTTCCCGGGCGTGCTGCGCTGGTTCGCGGAGCGCATGGATTTGGGATTATGACAGAATTTGGGATTTCCATTGGGATTTTGGGATCCGACCCCATCTCTTTTTCCAGGCTATGACTTCCCGGGCGTGCTGCGCTGGTTCCTCCAATGAATTATTTTGGTTTTATGACAGAATTTGGGATTTCCATCGGGATTTTGGG